GGGCGGGGAAAGCCAAGTGGTCATATCACAGGGTTTTACTGACGTGCTGTGAATTTTCTTAAGAAGACTCTGCTTGTCTCTGCTCGTGTTCTTAAACAGAGCATGAAAAGCTGTTGAAATGCTGGCTCTGCTTATCCTCAAATAAAGAGAATCCTGGTCATTTCCCTTTTGACAATTAAAAAAGATTGAGAAGATTGAACATCCAAAAAAGTGATCAGATGAGTGAAAACGAAGCTGCGGAGGCAGGGGTTTGCAGCTGATGTAGATGGTATTTGCTCATTAGAATTTGTTGCGGTATTTTGAAGAATCAAGGCTTTCGTGAAAAGATCTGAAGCAGCTCTTTTAGTGATTTCCCTCTTGTAAGACAGACATTTTTGTATGGGTGTAGGAGGGAAAGGATGGGTTCTGTCATTATTTAAGGAAGAGGTTAAATGTTTAGATAAAAATCTTATCTAAACATCACTACACTTTTTAGAAGTTGTTAGGCTGTTTTTGTCATATGTATTCCTAACATAGGACTGTGAAGGATCAGGTGGGATTCAAGCCATACTCCTTTTCAAGGGTGATAAACAATAGTGGACCAATCTTTTTTTTTTTTTAATATAAAATCTGAGGTGACTTTATGGGAAGGATGGAAACCCCCTGGTAACTTGATCTTTTTTTTTTTTTTTTAAACTAGTCACGTGACAGTGTACACTAACAGGGGTTCTCATTTCGTGTCTTCTCTTACTAAATCTTGCATCTTTCCCAGTCTTGCATCATGTCTTAGATAATGGACTTCTTGGGACTTTGAGTACCCTCAGATAACACTGTTTCATTCTTGGTCTGAGCATTTGGGTACTACAGTAGTGCAGATACTAAAATTACATGTTTCTATGAAAATTGTACACCAAGCTGTCCTGTAATTTTCCTTGTTAGTTTAGTTGTTTTCTTGCTTTTGCTTGTATGACTTCGGACCCTAAATGATGCTGAATCTCAATTAAGTAGCAATGAAGCTTATTTACTACCTACCTATATAGATAAACTATTCTGGCAAGTCAATGGCACCTCATGATGTTTTCCTCTGACAAGGTGGATATTCTACTAAAGTAGAGCTTGGCAGTGCCAGAAGACGATGGTCTTTGAGAAGGGTGAGGTAATTGCCTGGCAAACATAAATGCTTGGAACTTGGTCTCCCAAACTAGGAGTAGGTTGTTGCTGTTGACTCTGTTTCAGCTGACCGGGTAATGTTTCAGGTCATGGCCTAATCTAGTATTTCCATTTGTTTGTTCTTATTCCTATAGACTCTGTGTTACAGCCCAAAAGAGTTGTCATCGGACTATTTAAGTCTACAATCTGTTTTCTAAGCAAAAGAGAAAATAAAGTTCTTCATCACTCGGGTTTATCATGCTCTGTATTTTTGCTATTGGATTGACTTGGTAATTTAACGCTTCTCAAAATACAAGGTGCTAGGGTATACTGTAGAGAGAATGTTCTGCTTTAAAAAAAAAAAATTAAAGGCAGCATCTTCCAGGCAGCTCAGATCAGCTCTGATCTTTAAGAGAATACTTCTGCAAGTCTGTGATTTCTGGTATTAAGGTGTTCCAAGCTGGTACAGTATTTCAGATGTCAGTGTTTGATTTGTAAATAACGCTTGGCAGTACTAGGTGTGCTGTCACTCGGGTACCTCCACAGACATATTCTGTAGCTGTGCATGGTGAAGTTTTAGGAAAAATATAACTGTTGGCATAATCAAAATAGTTGTGTTAACTAGTCAAATGGAGAAAAGTGCTTCTGTTTTTGCCGGAGTGCTTTTAAGTTAAAAAAGCAATGATTTCTGGAGATGTTCTTTAAGTCTGCTGCATAAGGGTATGCAATCTGCAAGAAACTAAACTCATGATATTTAAATCTGAATGGCAGTTAAATGAGCGCCAGGGCTGTGCCCAAACATGAAGATTTCAAACTAATGAGTGCCTTAGCAGGCAAGTGGATTTCTGTTTGAGGCTGTTGTGTGTTTGAACTTCATAACGCTTAATTCTTGCTATAACTCCAAACAGGAATGAAAACTCAGGTGTGAAATTAAATAATTATGGCACCATTATTTGAATATAGACATGGGTTTAATATTTGGATGAGACAGATTGTTGGGTTTTGTTTAAGGTGGTTAAGCTCTTGTGTTAGTGATTGAGAGAACTGGAGGCATGTTGAGTTGTATGCAGTGGAAGGGTGAAATGATGAAATTTGGGCTTGAAAGATGTGTTGCGAAAGTTAGCAGTCAGCTTGTTCTGGCATAATATTTGCCATCAGTGTAGGACTGAGACTAAACTGCCTGTCTATTTAGGCTCTGAAGCACTGAACTTTGCATACTTGAAACTTAAACTGGTTATAACTGTGCTATTTCGTGAACTACAGAAATGCAAAGGAAAGCTATACTGGAGATTTGCTTCATAAGTTAAATGAATGTCTGGAAAAATAATGGGAGGAGCAAGGAGGATCATGCCTTAGTGAGATTTAAACCAGTGAGAATTTACAGACATACAAGTAAACATATGGGGACCAAACTTTCAAAGCCTCTGAACTGCCACTTGATGCCAGGACAACATTGTGGTCTTTTTTTGAAGTGTTTTTTACTCTAGAGGCTGGCATCTTTTTAAAAAATCAGCATGGAAACAAACTTCTAAATCAATTTTATTTTAGTGCGAGCTAGTTGGGAATGGATCAAATAATTTGAAGGTTAAATACTGCTGAAAACATTGCTGTTCCTGTGGTGTGAACTCTGTGAAGAAAGTTCTGTATTTCATTATTATAGATTGAGTGATGAACAATGAGTTGTAATAGGGAGAAAACCCTATGTTGAAAATGTCTTCTACAAGAGTGGTTTAAGAGCTAAGGTAGAAAGATAAATATATGCAGGGTTTTTAAAAAGTTTTCCTAATTGCACTGCTAAGCATTGTTATTAATTAGGTGCTTTCTTGATATTAAAAGCCATTTACAGTGATTTGAGTACATTTAACATTTGAGATTTGTATTTCTATCAGGTATAGCTGAGTGTTTCTCTCATGTTCATCTGGTGTGCCTTAATGTTTTGAGTTTGATTTTTCTGAGCTGTTTGGCTCAGTCTTTTGTCATCTTTTTTTGCAAGTAAAACATGTGGTTTGGGAAAGACCGAAAATCAAAGCTTGAATTATTCTGTTTCCTATAGGTTCAGGTGCAAGTTCATCCTAAACTTTCCTCTACTGAAGATGCGTTACAGTATGTGGAGGAATTAATTCTCCAGTTGTTAAATATGTTGTGTCAAGCCCAACCAAGAAGTTTTCTGGATGTAGAGGTATAGAGAATAAATATTACAAATCTGTAATAATTTGAATTGTTACATGAAAAGATATTAATAACTTCACAATGTAAAAAGGAAGGCAGTAATTATGTATCTTTATGTAGCAGAACCTTTGACGTAAAGCCTGCTGAGTTACTTTTCTGATTTCCCTATCAGTTTTTTGTTCAATGCACAGTAAAACCATCTCTGAACTATATTACTGTATAATAGAGGGTGAGCGTAACTTGTGTACATAAAGCAAACTGGTTCCTTTCAAAAGACCTTTCTTTTCCCCCCAACAATAATGCAAATTATAGCTGTTCAGTCTGAGGCTCTGAGCTGCTTTCTCAGCCTGGTGATTTAGGCTGATATACCCTTTGCCCTCCCAGAAATTGGAACAAAACCAGTTCACTCACTTTCTCGGAATGAATTGAGGAACACTTCTTACCTCTATATAAAAACCTCTTCTCTTACAATTCAATTTTCAAAGACCTACAACCTGTGTTGCTCAGAAAAGCAGCTTGATGTTTGAGAAGAGGGCTCCATCTGAGAAACAAATTAATTAAGCTAAATGAGTTGAACTTATAAGCCCATTAATATCTTGGTAGCCATTAGCACTTAACCAAAACTTTGATGCCAAGCTACAAACTCCATGTGCTGTGTGCCTGTTGGTTTCCAATACTCGGGGCCTGTGCCAGGTTAGGTAACAAAAGATGCAACTTCCTCACGTTCTGAAGAAAGTGGACTAATAGCAAAAAAATAAAATTGTATCTGTCTTTGAGCTCAAGATTCACAAATTTCATCATTCCTCTTCTCTTTTGAACACTGACACCTCTACTGGTGTTCCAGTGCCCCCTTTAATTGCTGGCCTGTTTTGCAACATCATTCTGGTCTGGCAGCTCAAGAGAGGAGAGGTTTGTGGAAGATTGTCTAACGCTGTGTTTTAAACAATGCGAACAAAAAGCTTGACACACAGTGTTGCGTTATGAGTGTGAAGTGTGTTATGGCTGTGAAGTCAGGGTGAGAAATGCAAGAATTGCAGATGATCAAGCAACCTCAATTTACTTCCTTTGTGTTTATGCACGGTGATGCTGTCTTTAATGATATGATCATACACAATTATTTTTCCCCAGGACACCTTCATTGTTCAATCAGCAGGCTGGACTATGTTAGTGGAGTGACTTGATATTAGATAGCGAATGAGATTTTTTTTTATTTTTTTTTTTTGGCTAGAATCTCTACTTTCCTTTTGCAGAAATGCTATGATGATGGGAGAAAAAGAAAAGCCTGTACTTTGGAAAGTTGGGTGCCACCTTTATAGAATTGTATTCTGTCCCAGTTTTTTGTCAGCTTTTGTTTGTGTACCTTGTCCTGTGTACCAGCTCTTTGTAAGTGGGCATTAACTTCATCTTTCTCATTTCATGGTTGTTCAAACAGGGGTCATATTTACATAACTGAGCACTTGCAACCGAAATAGTCAGTGGGAACTGTAGTCTGTAAAATTAAAATATGATGTTATCTGAGAAATTAGATTTGTGGAATCTCTGAACAAAACTGTGAAGCTTTTGAACCACAAGAGACCCGTGAATTCGTTCCAGCAGGAGGGTTGTTCAATGCACAGGAGAGTGTAGATGTCTTTAGGCACCCTGTCTGCTGGAAACATAAATTGGAGCATATATGGTCTAACTGTAGACTATGAAACAGTTTGAAAATATGGGGGCACTGCTGGACATCCTCTTTTCCTATTATGTTCATTGCCATCGTCAGAGCAGTTTGCACAATCTGGACTCTGTGCTTATCAGTAAAAGTGAAACAGAAAACTCATATTTCATTCAGTGACCATTCTGTAAAGCAAATAAAATGCTAGGATACAACATAGTTATGTGTTTAAATGCTGAATTACCAGGCATGTGCACAAGGGGAGCAAATTGTGCCTGCAATGGCAACTTAATTCTGGCATTTCTCAAACTTTGAGCATTAGATTATTCTATGATAATGATACTCTGATACAGCTGTATGAATGTAGTGAGCAGTGTGTACCAAAATGATAAAAGTTATGCATAGCTGAAATACTAATATTAGCAAACATTCCTTTGTTAAGTAATGGAAGGTGATTTGATAATGTAGTAATATTGCTAAGCTCATTCAGATTGTGCATTTACCCTTTAGTCCTGTTTTTTTTTAAGGATCGTGTTCAAAAAAGTTTTCCCCATCCTATTGATAAGTGGGCAATAGCTGATGCCCAGTCTGCTATTGAGAAGAGGAAAAGAAGAAATCCGTTATCTCTCCCAGTAGAAAAAATCCATCCCTTATTAAAGGTAAGCAGTAACGTAATCTTGGTTTTAGAGTCCAATTAGAAGCTGACACCTTTGTTTCATGTAATGTCTATTTGCTGCCTGAAATGTAAATAAAAAGGAATAAGAATATCTGTGTTACATAGCCTGAAATGTTTAAGTGAGGTTTTTGTTATAGTTGTTGGGTGTTGTCACTTATACAGTTAACAGATCAGCATCTACAGTGACACTGTTTCTTCTGTAAGCCTGTGTTTCTATTTCTAAAACAGACTGTATGTAGTGAATGTTTATCGAGTGTGGTCTTAAACTTACTGGTTTTAGTTGTAACCGTGGTGTGGTTTTTTTTTTTCCCCCCTTTCAGGAAGTCCTAGGCTACAAAATTGACCACCAAGTATCTGTTTACATAGTGGCAGTATTAGAATACATTTCTGCAGACATCTTAAAATTGGTTGGGAATTACGTGCGAAATATAAGACATTATGAGATTACAAAACAAGATATTAAAGTGGCAATGTGTGCTGATAAGGTAAGCCTAAATTGTTTCTCATGTAAACAGGAAGTTTTAGCTAAGTTTTGTGAGTACAATGTCTATTTTTATTGAGTACACAGGGTGTTGTACGTTTGAAAGAAGAAATTACTGCCATAAAACATGGTTCCAGTAAATGAGCAAAGCTACCAAAAAGCTAATTGAGCTTACAGAGCTGTTGCTTGTGCTTACTAATAGTGTCTGTTCCTTTTGATATCACTTGCCTAATTTCAGCAATGTGTGAATGCTTTAAAAATTATTGTGAAGCAGCACTAACTTAAAAATTTAACATTCTGAAGCTGTAATAATGGAGCCTTATTTTGTAGCTTGAAAAAAATCAGTCTAAAATTAGTTTGGGTGTTACTCTGAAATAAATAAAACTGTATTGCGTGTAAAAAGTAGTGTTTTGATGATCCAGCATTTCAAAACAAACCCACCTGTATTAGCATCTCAGCCTAATCTTCCTTAACAGTCTGTATTTTTCTCTGCAGGTAGTCTTGCTTGTCGCTTTAGAAGATTCATTAGATTCAGACCAGAATCTCCTTTCTTTCCAGCAGTGATAGAGCAGGGTCCTCTGTCTGTCTTTCAGGTGCCTTTGCATTCTAGCTTCTGTGGCCATCTCATTAGCATCTCAAATTTTCCATTGTTTAAAAAACAAAGCTTGAAGTTAATCCTTTAAGGGACAGGAATCTCTGATGAACGCTGATGTGATTTCAGATTTATCACCTCTCTTCAGTATTTTGTCTTGTTCTATGTTAATATCTTTGGTTGGGGTCATCTCTGTTTTAATGAATTCCTTTGTCTCAGGCTTACTTTTTATTTTTTTAATCCTACTTTCTTCACCTTTCTTTACTCTCTCAAGATATCTTGTGAGGTCTCAAAGTCAAGTACTTCTCAGGGCAGTAGTCTTGGTCATTCCTGCTTTTGGGTATATCTGCCTGAGTCATTAGGGCAGGGTTTGAAGATGTATTTTTGAATATTTGTCATAGAATAATAACAGGAACAAGTGCTGTTGCTGCGTGCTTCTATCTATCCTAGGAAAGGTGTTGAGCAGAAGGGCTGTGGTGAAGTTGATTTAGGAACTTCCATGGGAGGAGCTCTTTGATATGTACACAGAAGAAACTTTTGAGAGGCTCTAAAGCAGGCCTGTTGATCTACTGCCTCAGCAGAACAAGCCATTGGAGGATACTCCCAAGGTGGTTTATTTCCAGTTGCATTGAGAAGCTTCATAGTATATGATGTTCATACCTATAATGTGTGTTCTGCTTGGTTTTATTTTTTTGCAACAAAGCAACCAGACCAGTTTCTGGCCCCTGTATGCCATTCTTTTTTTCCTCAAGCACTTTCATGCTTGCTTTCGTGCCATCCATCCATCTGGAAAATTTTGCCTTGTCTACAAAAAAGAAACTCCATTAAAATGCAAGCTGTTTTTCTTCTACTATCTACGCATCCTTCTGGTTGCTCTAAACTCAATATCTGGGGTATAGTTACTTTGTGTCTGTGGATTTCATAGTAGTGAGATATGTGCTAGGAATGTGAATATAGTCTGGAATATTCTAGCTCAAGTATGCGCTAGAACTGCGTCTTTGAAGTAAAGTTGCAAATGTTGGGGCCTCCTTGAATACCTGCATTATTCCATGTAATTTTCTACAGCAGTGACCCTGTAATGTCCCATTCCCCAGAATTAGTTAGAATTCTCCTTTATAACCTGAGTTCATGTATGCTCATTGACTTTGAAAGATGAATTACCTTCTATTCTTAGAGCTTCAGAAGAAGTCAATCTTAATGCAAAATGTCCATTGCTCTGCTTTCAGAGAAGCTTAAGACCCAGGGTGTGTAGCAGGGACCTTTGACTCACTAGGAGAGAGAACCTGCTGTGTTCCCATTTCCCTCCTCACTACCCCTGTATATTTTTGAGGAGTGTTAGGGCGAAGACCTGGGTGAAGAACGATTGTTCTAGGTAGGTGTGTTTCTTCCAGTATTCAAGTCTGAACCTACCAGACCATCTCTTGAACTTAAGGATCCTGAAGTATTCTCTTGTTCATTTGTCTAATATCAGTAGTCAACAGCTTGGTTAACTGACATGTCTTCTGGAGAAGCGCCTGTAACATGATTTAAAGAAAGAAGACTTCTACTGTATATATCAGAGTAAATGTCATGTTTGTTTTGGTTCATTCAGAAGTTTAATTCTTGATCTCCAGTTTTATAATTATTTTGAAAAACACTTTTTCATTCTGTTTTCTGCCCTTTTAAAACTCTAGTTCTTACTGTGTTGGCCTTCCCTCCTGTGGTTCACAGAGGGGTGTTTATGGCTTTGATCCCGCAGTCTTTTCCTCACTCTTCTCAGTGCTGGACAGCAGTCATGTCAGTCTCTGCAGTAACAGGCGTAGGTTGCCATGGCTTCACCTCCATCTGTTTGGAAGGGAGGCTGGCAAGCAGCACTGAAGTTCTCATTTATTTTGAAGCTCACTTGTATTGTTTGATGCATTTCATGACTTCCTGGAAGGTATGTAGCTGTGGGCAGCATATTTGTTTATGAATACTGTCACATCTGTCTGTCCCAGGACAAAGTCATCTTGCATGTTGAACTACATGTTATGCTAGCTTGTTGTTAAGATTGGCTGCATCATTGTAGATTGATTGTGGACCCTTTTTAGGTTTTCTTTCTGCTAATGATACATCAAATTAGGATGCCTTTTACTAATTTGCAGTCAACTTGCTTAATTTACCTTTAAGATGTTCTTTGAGTATCATGGAATCAACCCAAAGTGTGATCTCTGTTCACTACTTGCTAAATCATTGTAATGACACCAGGCTCAGATACCATGTTTGGGAGAAGTGTTCAGTGATCTGCTTTTCTTGAGAAGTTTGAATTATTAATTGCTTCTGTTTGGTAAGCCTTGCTTAGGTATGAATTGGAACTTCTGGTAGTCAAAGCTTTTAGGGGTTCTTTTGTCTATGTAGTTCTGCAGCGCTACTGCCACCTTTTCTAAGGCTGATGCCCTTCCTCGAGGGTATGTTTTAATGATAGAACTCAGGTAAGGACAGAGAAACCAGGCCACATACAGTGACTGGGCAGCCAGTATTCATTGCAGATTACAGGGTTCTGAGCACAATCGTGTCTGACTTCCTAAAGCTGAAAAGCCAAAATGCACCTTTTTTTTTTTTTTGTCTTTAGAAACTTAGATTATGTATAATAGAATACAGCTAAATGCACCTGTATACTTCATAGACCTCTTAAAATTGTAATTGATTTTAGGACCACGTTCTTGGAGAGATGCCTGGATTGCTCTAAATGACTGGGAATTCTTCAGAAATTGCCGCTGCCAATAATGACTTGCAAATTCATAGCAATGAATATTGCTTTTGCAGTGGTCATTCAATTGCAGAGTGATAATACTTAAATCTTACTTCTGAACAGTCTGATTTGATGGGCATAATATATTTCCTTTACTGGTAACTTACTAGTAGATCTTGGAAAGAAGTGTTCTCACTTTGTGGATTTCCCCTCTTTGCTACCCAGGTATTAATGGATATGTTCCATCAAGATGTAGAAGATTTAAGTGCACTAACTTTATCTGATGAGGAACCCTCCACCTCAGGGGAACAAACTTATTATGACCTAGTGAAGTCATTTATGGCAGAGGTTCGACAATATATAAGGGAACTAAATCTCATTATCAGAGTTTTTAGAGAGCCATATGCCTCCAACTCCAAACTATTTTCATCTCATGTAAGTATTGTACAGACCACAAACAAAAAAACCCTACTACAATATCTGTAAATCTAGATGAACACTTCCAAACTTAACTGTTGTCCAATTTAACGTATCAACATAGAGGAAGCATTCGTCTCGAGTTCTGAAATGGAAATGGTAAAGGAGCACTTGTGGGGAAGCACAGGTTTTGTGGAAGTGGGGAAGAAACCACACAATTTACTATATGCATTTGCAGGCCTGTAACTTAAGATTTGTTGCTCTTGATCTTTGCCATGTTTGAATCATTGTAAACTTTTATATATTTAGACATATAGCCATTATTTAAAAAATAAATTCTGTGATGTTATATATGTTATACAGAAAGTATATAATAAACATGCTATAAAATTTTGTTCTGTTTAGGGAAGTGCTTGACTTTCATGTTGTAATAGTAGCTTTACATGTAATATTCTTCTTGTTAGAAATTGTGTCCAACTCCCTGTTGATTTTTGTCTGGTCTGTTGTGTTTCGTAGGATGTAGAAAATATATTTAGTCGTATATCAGACATTCATGAACTTAGTGTGAAGTTATTGGGTCATATAGAAGACACAGTTGAAATGACAGATGAAGGTAGTCCTCATCCGCTAGTAGGCAGCTGTTTTGAAGACATGGCAGAGGTAAGCAAATACTTAAGACTCTTTATCTATTCATACATATATTAAGGACTTGCGTTTAGCTGCCTTTGTTAAGGTTGAGATCTCTTCTTCCAGACCCACCATGATGAATAAACTGCCCATTTTTGAGAGTGCTTTTACCTTTTGAGTCTCTAAATCTCACTTTTATAAGACTGTTCAAACTTTAGGGAGCATTGAAGGGGAGGTGAGAGGGGAACCCAAAAACACTTGTGACTAGACTTTGACAGGAATGGAGGTATCCTGTAAATTGGCTGTAGATCAGGATTGCTGTGGAAAGACAAAGTGGAGCAAGGTGGCCTTTGCCAACAGGCTTGCTAAGCCGGTGAGGAAGGCTTTTGAACCAGGCTTGTTAGTAGATAGAGACCAAAGCTTGCAGACTTAAGAACTGAGAGGAGAAGGGGATGTGCATAACAGAAAGCATGACAACAAATGCTCTTGCACCTTCCTCCTGAGAGGTTGGGATGACGAAAGGCTCATCAGAAGTGTCTCTTTCCTTAGGGTGCGCATACTCATGTACAGATTGGAGGATCTGGGAGCCTGTGCACAGTTGCAGAGCTGTCATGTGGAATTAGCAACATGGCAGGAAGGGTTGCATGACGGAGAGCTGTATGAATGAATACAGGTGCTTAAAAAGGACAGGTGGGGAAGACAAGGACAGGAGGCTTAACAAAGCATCAGCTCAAATACATGGAGCTCTGTTATGGAATGAATGATGACCTGGTTGAATCCATAAGGATCAGAGGAGACGGCCACTAAAGTGCATGTTGTGGTCAAGCTTCTGCAAAGGCTGCCCAGTCCACAAGTGACCAAAACCTTCTATAAACAAGTAGAAGTCATCTCCTTATTGCAGGCCCCAGTTCTCTTGGGAGAATAATGTTCCTAACATCTGCTGGGTGGGCAACGTACTGAGGGTCAAGTAATCCCAAAAACTTGTGCAGGTCACTGGGGACAGTTTTTTGTGGCACATGCTGGTGGGCTATCTAAGAAGGGTGTCGCACTTCTTTCTCACGAACAAGGAAGAAATGGCAGGAATATTGTAGCTAGTGGCAAGTTTGGCTGCAGGTGGTAAAGATGATGGAGTTTAATGTCCTGAGAAATGCACAGGAGATAAGTGGCCTGAAGACTCTGCGTTTTGGGAGTAGACTTAGCTTGCTCAGGGAATTGGGAGACAGGATCACATTGGCTGCCTTGAAGGTAGAAGGGGCTCAGGAGAGCTGGTTTATTTTCAAAGGTGGTGTGTTCAAAGTACAAAGAATATGCATTCCTAGTCCCAAAATGAGAGGATAGGTGTAGCAGGAGGCTGCCCAGTCTCAAAAAGAGTGATGAGGAGGATCCTGGAAACTAGAAGCTGGTCAGTCTCTCCTTAGTCCCTGAGAAGATTAGCAAATCTTTCTGGAATTCACACCTAACCATGTGAAGGACTACAAGGTGATTTGCAACAGCCAGCACAGATTTCCAAAGGACAAACTGTACCTGACCAATTTGACTGGTTTCTAAGATGACATGTCTGGCTCCATGGACAAAGGAAAAAAGCAGTTAATATCCCTTACCTAAACTTAAGTAAGGCCTTTAGCACAATCTCCCATAGTATCAATATAGTTAGCTTGGTGAGACATAGGCTAGCTAGTTGAATGGGAGTTGAAGTGGTGTTGAATAAAAGTTGAATGGAAGTTGAGTGGTGGGGAAATTGGCTGCTCGGCAGGCTTGAAGGGGCGTCATCAGTAAGGTCTGTTTGATGGCCAGTGGCTAGCAGCATTCCTCAGGGTTTGATACTAGAGCTGGTCCTGTTTAATATCTGTGTTAGCACTGTGGGAGAAGGTCCGCCTCATCAAGTTGATAGTGATGTCAAATTGGGAGGGGACATACAGGAAGACAGGACTGATTCTTGGGGGACCTGATGGACTGGAGAAATGGAGGTAAATGAACCTCATGGAGTTAAGTAAAGGTAAACATGAAGTTCAGCACTTGGGACCAAACAACCCATCCATTGTGTGGCTGAGGAGCAGTACTGCTCAACAGAGCTTGGAGATCTTCAGGAATCAACAATGAAGGCTAACTCCCTGCTGGGTTATATTAGGAAAAGTATAGCTGGTAGGTTGAGGGATCATTCTTGTGTAGCACTTGAGACCATATCTGGCATACTAGTTTTGGCCTTCCCTAGTACAAGATACGCATAAGGGTTGTCGTGATGATTAAGGAGTTGAGGCCTGTGACATTCAAAGACCGTTAAAAGTGCTGGGCTTATTCAGTCTTAAAAAGAGAAGTCTGAGGAAGGAGGTCTGATTGCTGTTTTCAGTTATCTCAAGGGAAGGTATAGGAAAGACTGAGGCAGGTTGGGATTCACAGTAGAGAACTGTGAGATGAGAGAGCATGTGACTGGTAAAAATGGTAATCCTGATTGGATACTGGGCCGGGGACGACGACGACGACAACACACCATTGTGTATTGAGAACAATTGAACATTGAAATGGGCTGCCCAGAGAGGTTCTTGGAGGTACTCATTACTAAACTGGATGAGGCTGTGAGCAACCTCAACTAGCTTTGATGCTGGATCTGAGGTGGGCCCTGGTTTGAAGAGGGAATTGGACCAGCTGACCTCCAGAATTCTCTTCCAGACTGAATTTCTCAATGAGGCTGTGCACATAAAAGTATTGATTCTTCTCTATAAATGTTTTGGAAAAAGTACGCAGAAAAGTCAGTCCTATGGATCAGGTTGGATGGGGCTCTGAGCAACTTGATGACCTTTAAAGGTCCCTTCCAACCTCAATTACTCCAAGATTCTATGTAGCGTGTGTATTTTATTTAAGAAATATGAAAGTTTGGATATTTAATCAATTTTGTAAAATTATTCTGTATTTCTTCTTAGGAGCTAGCATTTGATCCATATGAATCATATGCACAAGATATTTTGCGACCTGGTTTTCATGATCATTTTCTAAGTCAATTGTCAAAGCCAGGAGCAGCGTTTTATTTACAGGTAACTTTTTTTAAGTAAGCCTTATTATTGTTATTACTGTTTTAATTGCATTATATTGTTGCTTCAATACATTTATTGTTTTAAGACTGAAACTTACTTTGTTTCTAGTCAATAGGTGAAGGCTTTAAAGAAGCTGTTCAGTATGTTCTACCCCGGCTGCTCCTTGCCCCTGTTTACCACTGTCTTCATTATTTTGAACTGCTAAAAGTAAGAACATTGTGTCGATCTGATGGGTTTTTTTTCTTTTGTAATTCTCAGTGCTGGATACCAGAGCTCGGTGTGCTCAGTGAGGTGTAAAACTTTTTGCTAGAATGTGAGTAATAAAACTGCTATGATGAAAGAAAAGCAGGTTATATGCTCTGGTGCATGCTCTGAGTATCAGCTTGTAATTTCATGGAAGTTTTACAGTGGCTAATGATTTGTGTTGAATAATGAAGTTACTATTAATTTAAAAAGCAATAGAGAACTAGGTGCTCATATATCTTGGAATGATTGTTTCAACAGTGGTAAGAGATAATGGGAAATAGTTGTATAACAGAAAATGTCCAAGGATTTCTCAAGCTGTTACTTTGTAAATTTAAAATCACTGTATGATTTCCCTTTAAACTTCATTTTATTTTCATAAAGGCTTCAGTATTCTTTCAGTGCACATCTCATCGTGGCTGTAAAGCTGATATCCTTACTTCAAAGGGAAGGTGTAGTTCATATATACGCTGCTTTAGCTTTTTGTAATGAGACCTCACATCAGTAGGGTAACAGTGAAGATTCTGTAACATACACACGTAAAGAAAATACCTATAGAATGTTCTTCTGGGGCATTTATCAGTTAGCATTGAATAAATATCTTTAAAGACCATAGAGCATTTTCAGGAAAATTAAAATCTTCATTTGAACTTAACCGAAACTCATAAGGAATACACTGTTCCAGACTTAATTACTTGGGGAAATTTGGATCAGAAGTAAAAAAAAATCTGCTCACAGAAGAACTGTGGGTGTGTTTTTCTTGAATGTTTTTCTGGTTGTCTTGGGATAACCCAGAAGTTATGTCATCTTTGTGTCGAAGTGTCTACAGCTTTAACACCATTTTTACTGATTTAAACCTACACATACAGCTTTGGCACGTAACACATCTTGTATAACATGCCTTTTTTGAAATTTGGAACGTATGCTTGATCTGTTCGTGTAGCTCATGGGTTTGATCTGACTTTTCAGACACCTTTAACGTATTAAGCATTTCATTTCATGACAGTCCATTGGAAGGAAGGTGTGATACAGCTGGTCTGCATTTTGTAAAATAGACCTGCACAGACATAAAGTTTCTCTGCTCTTATCACACAGCCTCAAAATGCAGTACCTAGTGGCTTTGCATACTTCCATGTCAGTACTGTCTTAGGTAAAACACAAAGCAAGAAGGATTAATGTAATCTGACAAACAGGCATCCTGCATTGTTTCTTGGCATTTGTAACTTTAGTAGGTGAAGGAGGGCATGTGTGCTTACAGAGATAGGGAGCAGCTCATGTTTGTGCTTTTTAGGGCAAACTGGAGTCTAAGCTAAGTTTGACTCCAGAAGGTTATTAATCGTTTTGCAACTCCTGACCCTATGCTTTATGTAAAATTCTTGTCTTTTCTCATTCATGCTCTACAGACACACACCCTCCACCCTGTGTAAATCTAGTATTGTTGGGTAGGATTTTATTCTGTGTATGACAACCTTCCAGGCTTTCTTCCCACTGTGTTGCTCACCTCACATTTTAGTGAGACCACAGTTGCTGTGGTCTGTCAGATGTGATACATGTAATAGTGATGGATAATAGCACATAGAGAGATGTTAGCTGTCATGGTAGTAACTTCATCTGTTAATTTGTACATACATGTGCAAACAGCTCATGAATCCCTCCCTGAAGTAGTCTCTGCTAACAATAAGGATTTCTTTCTTATAACTGGAATCTTCAAACAGATTCCAGCTTGATTATACTTCAAATGGCCTGACACAAAAGTATTTGCTGTGGAAGGGTATTGGTGGAATTTTTTTAGCTTTCTAATCCAGATAGTTTCACAGATGCAAGGTTATATTGAATCCTTTTGTACGGTAAGAGACCCGATTTAGTAATTGCAGGCATATCTTTGGATAATCAAGTTAAAAATGCTATGAAAACTATGTCACGGTATGAAGAGACAAAATGTTGGCAAAGTAGTATGTGGAAAAAATATTTTATTTCTCTTGAATATAGGAATACTTAAGTATAAAGGGGTTAGCGTTTTTCTTTGAGCTACGTTGTGTCATCTTGCGCACTTTGAAGTTATCTGTTAAAAATGCATCTCAAAGTTACCTTCTAACTATGCAGACTAGCATAAAAAGTAAATTTCTATGCACTGATGGGTATCCTGTTTAGAAACAAAGCCCTCCTGAAGTTTGGCAAGGCACCAGGAATGTACAGATGCATACTTTATATTTAGCTGAAGCTACTTGCTATAACGTTGTTGAAAACTGAGTGTATGACGAAGGGTTGTGTTTTCCTACAACCAATCTGAAAGTCCCCAAACTTTTATATAAGAAACTAAGTATAGGAAATAGCAACTTCATATGAGACTGTGCTTTTCCGCAAATTTGCAGATAATGTGAATGGGCTTTTCTAAATGTGGACTCTTAAGTGAAAGGTAGGTTATTACCAATTGTGCAGTTATTTAGGATCTTGAGTTACTGAAGAAAGAAGTTTACAAGATTTTAATTTAATTGGGCACAGTTTCAGATGCTGTACATCTCTGTGCATATGTAATACTCTTTCCTTTCTTTGGGTAAATAGAAGTGGTTTGGCCTTAGCAGCAAAGAACCACAGGGCAGCCGTGGTTGGGTCTTGGGACTGGACCCCTCCCCCGCCCCCGTGGATTGAGACAAAGGCAGTTTAGCAGAAACAGCAAAAGGAACAAGAAAACAACAATAACTCTGAAGGAGGAATATATAACCAGATACCATTGCTTGCTCTTGGGTGGTAACTTCCTGCCCCCTCCCCCAGCAGCTCTGCTACCCCCTGGGCATGGCTCACAGGGGATGGAATATCTGTGTCCCCGATAGAGCCTGGGGAGAATTAACCCTGTGCCCGTTGGAACCAGGACATTATCCACCCCTTATTCCATACCATCTATGCCATGCCCAGATCTTACAGTTTCCAATTACATGCCATCACTTTCCCCTGTCATATATATATATGTCTGTACATATATATCCATACAGATATAACGGCCTTAGTCTATGGGCCATCATTCTAAACCGTCCACTGAGTTCATTTAATCCATGACTTTGGGCTCCATCTGTTAGAATAGTCTCTCCGGGCACACAAGATGGTGTGTGTGGGGCTGGACTGTCGCATGCTGTGTTTTTGAGGCTTGCAGCTGATGTAGCCAGTGCAGGTCATGCCCAGGGTCCATGGGTTAAAGATGTCAATCTCAATGAAGTTGCTGGGCGCCAGCTGCTGAGGTCAATTCTGATCCTTCACTGCTGCACTTCACTTGGTTTTTCATCAGAGTCCATCTGTCATTGTTTTGGGTGATTCTTACTGTAGTACAACCAATAGCAGTTACAGAAATGAGGATGTACAGTGGTAGGGTCATTTAGCAATTAACATCATACAATTTCATTCATTGGCTATTCTCACCCAAAATCAGGTCCCCACAAGGTGCACATTGCACTTCCCCATCCTTCCGCATCACCCACCAAGTGCACCCAGGTCCTTGAGCAAAGGCAATCCCACGGATGGGTTTGCCTTTGTCTGAGGCAGGACTGACCCAGAGGGTCTTCCCCAACATATTCTTCATGGGCACTACGGGGACTTTATCCCCTTCCACAGTACGTGGAGGTTTTGATTGGGCAGGGCCAGCTCTGTTGATAGATCCCCTGGTGTTAACTAGCCAGGTAGCCTTTGCTAAATGTGTATCCCAATGTTTTAAAGTCCCACCACCCATTGCTCTCAGTGCAGTTTTTAACAGTCTATTGTATTGTTCTCTCTTCACAGAGAGAACATGCGTGGTGGGGGATGTGATAAACCCATTCAATACTTTAGCCAATTCTTTGGCCCAGGGGTCAATGAGGCTGTTTTGGAAATGAGTCCTGTTGTCTGACGCAGTTCTCTCTGGGGGGCCATGTTGCCACAGGACTTGCTTTTCAAGGCCCAGGATGGTGTTCCAGGACCTGGCGTGGGGCACAGGGCATGTTTCCAGCCATCCAGTGGTTGCTTCCACCATTGTGAGCACATGGCGCTTGCCTTGGCGGGTTTGTGGGAGTGCAATATAATCCATCTGCCAGGCCTCCCCATACTTGTATTTCAGCCATTGTCCTCCATACCAAAGAGGCTTTAATCGCTTGGCTTGCTTGATTGCAGCGCATGACTCGCATTCATGGATGACCTGTGCAATAGTGTCCATGGTCAAATCCACGCCTCGGTCACGAGCCCAGCTATATGTGGCATCTCTTTCTTGATGGCCTGAGTCGTCATGGGCCCATCGAGCTATGAATAATTCCCCTTTATGTTGCCAGTCCAGATCCACCTGACCCACTTCAATCTTAGCAGCCCAATCCACCTGCCGGTTGTTCTGATGTTCCTCAGTGGCCTGACTCTTGGATACATGGGCATCTACATGACGTACTTTCACAACCAGATCCTCTATCCGGGCAGCAGTATCTTGCCACAGTTCAGCAGCCCCGATGGGTTTGCCTGTGCGCTGCCTGTTGCTCTGCTTCCACTGCTGTAACCACCCCCACAAGGCATTTGCCACCATCCATGAATCGGTGCAGAGAGAAAGCAGCGGCCATTTTTCCCGCTCGGCAATGTCTGAGGCCAGCTGCATGGCTTTCACCTTTGCAAACTGGCTCGATTCACCTTGTACTTCACTGGCTTCTGCAGCTTGTCTTGTAGCACTCCACGAGGCAGCCTTCCACTTTTGATGCTTTCCCACAATCCGGCAGGGCCCATCAGTGAACAAGGCACATCTCATTTTCTGGTAGTTTATTATGTGGTGGGGCCTCTTCCACAAGCATCAGCTCCTCCTCTGGTGACATTCCAAAATCCTTGGCTTCCAGCCAGTCCATGATCACGTCCAGAATGGGGTTTCCCATTCGAGTTCGCTGTGTGATCAGTGCAATCCACTTACTCCATGTAGCGTTCCTTGCATGATGTGTGGCAGGGACCCTTTCTTTGAACACCCAGCCCAG